TAGTGGACATCCCTCCCATGTTCCTGACCTTAGGAGGAAAGCTCTCAGTTTCTTCCCATTGAGAATGATATTTGCTGTGGGTTTTTCATAGATGGCTTTGATGATATTGAGGTATGTAACCTCTATCACTACACTGTGAGGAGTTTTGATGATATTGAGGTATGTACCCTCTATCCCTACACTGTGAAGAGTCGAAAAAATACAAGAAAGGATGTTGTACTTTGTCAAACGCTTTTGCTGGATCTATTGAAAGTATCATATGGTTCTTGCCCTTTCTTTGATTATTGTAGTGTATGGCATTGATTGATTTGCAAATGTTGAACCAAACTTGCACCCCAGGAATATATCCCACTTGGTCATGGTGAATAATTATTTTAATGGATTATTAATGGATCCTATTACTTAGTATTTTTATGAGAATTTTTGCATCCATGTTCATCAAGGATATTGGTCTGTAATTCTCTTTTTTGATGGGATCTTTGTCTGGTTTGGGGATTAAGGTAATGCTGGCCTCATAAAATGAGTTTGGAAGTTTTCCTTCCATTTCTATTTTTTGGAACAGTTTCAGGAGAATAGGTATTAATTCTTCTTTAAATGTTTGTTTAAATTCCCCTGAGAAGTCATCTGGCCCTGAGCTCTTATTTTTGTGGAGATTTTTGGTTACTGCTTCAATTTCCTTGCTGGTTATGGGTCTGTTCAGATTTTCTATTTCTTCCAGGTTCTGTTTTGGTAGTTTATACATCTCTAGGAATGCATTCATTTCTTCCAGATTGTCAAATTTGTTGGCATATAGCTGCTCATGGTATGTTGTTATAATTGTTTGTACTTCTTTGGTGTTGGTTGTGATCTCTCCTCTTTCATTCATGATTTTATTAATTTGGGACCTTTCTATTATCTTTTTGATAAGTCTGGCTGGGGGTTTATCAATCTTATTAATTCTTTCAAAGAACCAGATCCTAGGTTCGTTGATCTGTTCTACTGTTCTTTTGGTTTCTATTTCACTGATTTCTGCTCTGATCTTTATTATTTCTCTTCTCCTGCTAGGTTTAGGCTTTATTTGCTGTTCTTTCTCCAGCTCATTTAGATGTAGGGTTAGTTTGTATATTTGAGAACTTTCTTGTTTCTTGAGAAAAGCGTGTGTTGTTATATACTTTCTTCTTAGGACCAACTTTGCAACATTCCAAAGATTTTGAAGAGTTGTGTTTTCATTTTCATTTGTTTCCATGAATTTTTAAAATACTTTTTTAATTTCCTGGTTGACCCATTCATTCTTTAGTGGGATGCTCTTTAGCCTCCATGTATTTGAGTTCTTTCCAACTTTTCTCTTGTGATTGAGTTCTAGTTTCAAAGCATTGTGGTCTGAAAATATAACCTAATGGCCAACAGACACATGAAAAAGTGCTCAACATCACTCAGCATCAGGGAAATGCAAATCAAAACTACAATGATATACCACCTCACACCAATCAGAATGGCTAAAATTAACAAGTCAGGAAATGACAGATGTTGACAAGGATGTGGAGAAAGGGGAACCCTCCTACACTGTTGGAGGGAATGCAGGCTGGTGCAACCACTCTGGAAAACAGTATGGATGTTCCTCAAAGTGTTGAAAACAGAGGTACCCTATGACCCAGCAATTGCACTACTGGGTATTTACCTTAATGATACAAATGTAGTGATATGAAGGGACATGTGCACCCCAGTGTTTATAGCAGCAATGTCCACAATAGCCAAACTATGGAAAGAGCCTAGATGTCCATAGGCAGATGAATGGATAAGAAGATGTGGTATATATATATAATGGAATATTATACAGTCATCAAAAAAAACAAAATCTTGCCATTTGCAATGACATGGATAGAACTAGAGGGTATTATGCTAAACAAAATAAGTTAGTCAGAGAAAGACAATTATCATATGATCTCACTGACATCCAGAATTTAAGGAACATGGGGAAGAGAGGGAAAAAAGTAAAACAAGATGAAACCAGAGAGATATACAGACTATAAGAAACTCTTAATCTCAGGAAACAAAATAAGTGTTGTTAGGCGGGGGGCAGGGATGGGGTGATTGGGTGATGGACATTGAGGAGGGTATGTGCTATTCTGAGTGCTTCAAATTGTGTAAGACTGATGAATCACAGACCTGTACCCCCGAAACAAAAAATACATTATATGTTAACAAAAAAATAAATTAAAATGAATGAATAAATAAGTAAATAAATAAAATTGGAGGGGAAAAGATAAATATGAGATTTACTTGGGGCTAAAAACCCAATTGCTTGAGTAAAACATGGGTAAGATACAGTATAAAGAAGCATATTTGACACTTTGGGTCTTTACTCAAAGAGTCAGCAGAAATATTGACTCTACAGAGGTTAGCACAAACTTTGGCTGCACAATAGTTAGTGTCTGGAACAATAGAGGTACAATCTTAGTCAGCTTGGCTTGGATCAGCCCTCCCCTAGAGTATTAAACTCAGTTCATAGAGTCCCACTTGTAGAGGGACTTGAGCAGAAGAAACTTGGTGGCATATGACTGTGAGTCAGGACATGCTGTCACGTGAATAAAAAGTAAAAACTGGGAGGTTTCTTCTGAAGGCAAAAAGACTCGGAGAGGGTGTAAGAGCCATTTTCACATAAATGAAGGATACAATGGCAATAAGGATTTAGAACTAGCATCAGGACCAAGAATGGAAGCCAGAGGAGACAGAACTTCAGCTCAAAGAAAAAAAAAATCCTAGGACCCCTCAGAGCTGCTTGAAAAAGAAGAGCTACCTCAGTAGACAGTATGTTCACCAGCGAAGACAATCTTTCAGGTGATGCTGTAGAGAGAATCAAAGGGGGATGGCTGGGAAAGCAACCAGTTACTTCCAACTCAAACCACAGATTTCAGTCTTCTGAAAAATTCTCTCCAAATTTGTAAGACTGATGTTCATTCCTTGATTAAAACAGGCAAATGAGGCTCTGTTGTTTGTACTGTAGGTTTATGCAAATGTCATTTAAAAGTATTTCTATTTATAAAACATCCTTAATCTATTTCATTGGGGAGAGAAAGAAGAGGAGACTTAAAATGTACTGATTCATGACAGGCGCTGTGGCCATAAATACATTTTATCTTTAACGTAATCCTAAACAACAGCCTATTACTATTTGCCTTAAATAGATCAGAAAACTATGACCCCTAGAAGTTACATAACTTGAATGAGATTGGGCGGGCCATAAATGAGAAATCAAAGACTAAAAATGGCCTTTTGAGATTTTAAGCTTCTGATTGGTTTGTTAAAAAAAAAAAATGGAAAGGGTATTGCTCTCACCTTACAATAAAAAATCCTGAATAATTTGTGAAATCATAATTTTACTTGAGTAAAAAAGATATCTGAGATTGCAGGACAAAACAACTAACCCAAAACCTAAATAATAGCAGATACATCTAAGGAGAGATAGGACACAAGCAACTGTTTATTTGCAGCAGACTATGGACATTATTCAAAATTTTTAATGAATTACTAAATGTTGAGCATGGATTAATGTGACAACCTCACTCTAAAACTAAGGTAACACTACAAGAATTTAAAGCCTTTATTGCCCTGAGAGTGACCATGGCAATAAGAAAACCCAAACACAACTCAACTTAGATTGACTCAAATTCTCATTCTAACAACTCAGGGAAGAGAGGGGAAGGATATCCACTTCCAGGCAGTAATGCTAGTTACATTAGTTTCCACTGTCCTATAAAAGATATCACCTTAAAAATAAAAAGCATAAGACATACATACAAGGAAGGGAGGTGGGAAGAAAAGAAGAAAAATATGATCAACCAAGAACAGATTTTAATATAACACAAATATTGAAACTATCAGACAAAAATAACTATAATTAACATGATAAAAACAGTAGAAAAAGTATTCAGCATGCATGTTCAGATGAGGAACTTCAACAGAGACATAAACACTATGAGGAAGAAGTCAATGAAATGAAATGTATGAAATAAAATAAAAATGAAAAGTATGATAAAAGAGTTGAAAATGCTTTAATGTGGGATGCCTGGGTGGTTCAGTCAGTTAAGCATCTGTCTTCAGCTCAGGTTGTGATTTCAGGGCTCTGGGATAGAGCCCCCAAAAGGGCTCCTTGCTTGGCAGGGAGCCTGCTTCTCTCTCTGACAAATAAATAAATAAAATCTTTAAAAATAATAATAATGATGATAAAAAAAAAACAAGCTGAGAGTTTTAGAGGGGAGGGGGTGGGGGAATGGGTGAACCTGGTGGTGGGTATTAAGGAGGACACATATTGCGTGGAGCACTGGGTGTGGTACATAAACAATGAATCTTGGAACACTGAAAAAATAAAATAAAATTATTTTTAAAAAAGAGCACATAGGAGACAGATAAAACCAAAAAAGAAAGAAAGAAAGAAAGAAAGAAAGAAAGAAAGAAAGAAAGAAAGAGCTTTAATGGCCTCCAAAATAGAATCAATACAGCTGAGGAAATTATCACTAAGCTGAAAGATAGGTCAATATAAATCATGTAAACTAAAACACAAAAAGAAAAATGTAGTGAAAAAAAAAAAAAGAGCACCCCAAAGCTGTTGGATAATATAAAACATTCTAAACATACATGCATGTGAAATCCCAGAAGGAAAGAAGAAGAACATGGCTGAAAAATATATTTGAACAGACAAGGGCCAAAAATTAATGACAGACATCAAATCACAGACCCAAATCCACAAAGAGTACCAAACGGAATAAATATACTCACTCCTTCAAAAATATATGAACACATTACATTCAAACTCTTGAAAACCAAAGATAAAGATAAAATCTTGAAGGCAGCCACAGGAATGGAAAAGACACTATATAGAAAGAAACAAATATAAGGATTACAGAAGACTTTCATCAGAAACTACACAAGCCTGAAGACAATACAGTGGCATATTTAAAGGGCTGAAAGGAAAAAAAAATCAAATACATATTCTATAAAACACCTTTTCAAAATTAAGAAGAGTGCTTGCTTCAGCAGTATATACACTAAAACTGGAATGACACAGAGAAGATTAGCATGGCCTTTGCACAAGGATGGCAAGCAAATTTGTGAAGTGTTCCATATTTTTTTTAAAAAAGTAAATAAAATAAAGTTAAGGAGAAATAAAAATATGTTTATCAAACAAAATGAAAAACTCCATTTCCAGTATACCTGCTCTAAATGTAGAAGGAAGTTCTTCAGATAGAATACATATGATATAAAAGCCTGCATCTATATAAAGAAATGAAAGCACTGCCAATGACATAAGTGAAATGTCATAATACTAATTCTGCTCTGAAAGTTAATGAACTTTTTCAGTGAAGAATCAAATAGTAAATACTTTAGGCTCTGTGAACCACATATGGTCTCTGTCACATATTCTTTGTTTTTTTGTGTGTGTTATTTTTATCTGCTATATTTTGTTCTGAATTTCTGAGAACACTTTAAAATGTAAAAATCATCATTAGCTTGAAGACAATACCACACAGGCTTCAGGGGTTCCACTTCTGGGGTGATGAAATAAATAAGTGCTTCTCTATTCTTCAAATGTTTTTCTACTAAGTACAACTAAAGTCCCTTGGATATTATATATAAAATAAACAGCAGAAGACTGAACAGTGAGGAGGGAACATAAGATGAGCCACTGACTGAGGGACCCATGGGAAAACAGTGCTACATCTCTTGGGTTTTATTTTTGCCTCATTTATCCCAGACTTGTAGTAGAAGGAGGTAACTACCAAAACTGCAAACAAGCACAGATTTTTCAAACTCTCAATAAATACCTACTTTTATTGGGAGTTCAAACTTAATTAAAGACCAGCAAAGGGACTGTCCAGCAAGACAGAGAACTTTTAGACAAAAAACACCAGCCAAACACCACAGAAAAACTGTGGTCCTACTGCACTCACACTAGCAAGAGCCAGTGGAAAGCCTGGACTTTAACCTAACTTCCATCAGAGAGCTATCAGAGAAGGATGTCTGACTTTCATTGCCCTGAGCAATAAGGTCTCTGCAGGAGAGACCATATGGGAGTCTGGACTTCCACTCTCCACTAACAGAAAAGAGGTGCTCTTGCCCCTCTCCATGGGTGGAATCAGAGGCAGCCTAGTGGATAGTCATGACTTTTACCACTGCCCAATGGTAAGGAGACCAACACCCTTGGCTTCAGTGGAGGCTGTATGGGGAATAGTAATGAGTCATTCTTATCCTCCCAGCCATAGTAGTATTAACAAAGGTCTAGTGAAGGGCCAAAGTAGCAAACCAAAAATTTCCAGCTTTCAGTTGTAAATCACTTGTCATAACAGGAACCATAAAATGTCAACTTCAATGAAAAGAGACAGCAACAGAAGCAAAACTGAGATGACACAGATGTTTGAATAACCTTACAAAGATTTTAAAGCAGTCATCATAATAATGCTTCAATAAATAATTATAAATATGTTTGAAACAAACAAAAAACAGGAAGTCTCAGCAGAGATATAAAAGAAACAAATAAGAATGTGAAAGAAATTATAGAACTAAAAAATGCAATATCCAGGGGTGCCTGGGTGGCTCAGTGGGTTGAGCCTCTGCCTTCAGCTCAGGTCATGATCTCAGGGTCCTGGGATCTAGCCCCACATCAGGCTCTCTGTTCACCAGGGAGTCTGCTTCCCTCTCTCTCTCTGCCTACTTGAGATCTCTGTCTGTCAAATAAATAAATAAAATCTTAAAAATATATACATAATATCTCAAATAATAAAATCAATGGATGGGCTCATAGCAAAATGGAGGGAACAGAGAAAAGAATCAATAAACTTGAAGGTAAAACAATAGTAATTACCCAATTAGTATAGAGAAAAAAAATACACTGAAAAAAAAAAAAAAAAGGAACAGAGCTTCAGTGACATACAAGATTATAGCAAATGATTGAATACTCATATCACTGGAGCCCAAAGGAAAAAAAAAAAAAAGAAAGAAAGAAAGAAAGAGAATGAGACTGAAAAAGCATTTGAATAAATGATGACTGAAATTTTCCCAAATTTGGCAAAAAAAACAAGATTTAAAAAGCTTAGAGAATTCCAAACAGGAAAAACCTGAATAAATTTACTCCAAAATGCATCATAATCAAATTTCTGGAAAGACAAACAAAAAATTATGGAAAGCAGTAAGGGAGCAATTATACCTTACCTATAAGAGAAAACAATTCAAATGACAGCATTTTTGTTACAAACTAGGGAGGAAGTAGCATAATAGTTTTCAAGTGCTGAAATAAAAAACCCAAAATTATACATGCAGAGAAAATATCCTTCAGAATTAAGGGTAAATCAAGATCCTCAAACAAAGGAAAACTAAGAAAATTTTTTACCACAGCTTACCTGAAAGAAATGGCCAAAAGGAGTTTTCTGAACAGAATGGAAATGTTGAAAGAAGTGCCCTTACAGCATTAGAGTGGGGAAAAAAGCAAAGAAAATAATCAAAGAAAAGAATAAAACACAAACACACACACAAAACTTCTTAGGGGCACCTGCATGGCTCAGTCAGTTAAGTGTCTGCCTTTGGCTTAGGTCATGATCTCAGAGTCCTGGGATGGAACCCCACATTGAGCTTCCTGCTCAGTGGGAGTCTGCTTCCCCCTCTCCCTCTGCCTCACACTCCCCCACCTGTGCACTCTCTCTCTCTCAAACAAATAAATAAAATCCTTTTTTTTTTTTTAAAGGAAGCAAAGGGGCACCTGGGTGGCTCAGTGGTTAAAGCCTCTGCCTTCGGCTCAGGTCATGATCCCAGGGTCCTGGGATCAGGCCTCACATCAGGCTCTCTGCTCAGCGGGGAGCCTGCCTCCTCCTCCTCTCTCTCTCTGCCTGCCTCTCTGCCTACTTGTGAACTGTCAAATAAATAAAAATCTTTAAAAAAAATAAATAAATAAAAATAAAAATAAAAATAATAAAAAGAAAGCAAAACATGGGTAAATATAATACATTTTCCTTCTTCTTTTGAATGTTCTAAATTATGTTTGAAAATTGAGCCAAAATTATAACACTGTTGTATGTGGTCCTAAATGTGTGTAGAGGAAATATGTAAAACAATTACAAAATAAATTTGGAAAGGTAAAAGAACTTAAAGGGAAAAGTTTTCTATACTTAATTAGGTAAAGTGTGGACAACTGTAGGTTCTGATTTGCATATATATATATACAGAGATACCACAAAAATATCTATCCAAAATATATACTATAGATGTGAAGAAAAGGGAATTCCCATGCACAGTTGGTGGGAATGCAAGTTCATTGCAGTCGCTATAGAAAACAGTATGAGGCTTCCTCAAAAAATTAGTAAAACAAGGAGGGGCAAGATAGTGGAGAAGTAGGAGACCCGGTTTCAACTGGACCCCTAAAGTGAGCTAAATATCTACCAGAACGCTCTGAACACCCATGAAATCAGCCTGAGATGTAAGATTATACACTTCTGGATCTCTACAGGGGCAGAAGACGTCAGTGGAGAGGGTGCACATTGCCTGGATCATGGTTGATATATTCAGCTATACATCCTCTCAACTACCTCTCACCAAAATGACTAGGAGGAGGAACAACCAACAGAGGAAAAATTCAGAGACTATGCCCTCTGCAACAGAACTGTTGGATATGGATATAAACAGTATGCCGGAAAGGAAATTCAGGGTAACAATTATCCAGGCAATGGCTAGGTTGGAGAAAATGGTTAGTGACAACATAGAATATCTAAGGGCAGGAGTGAGAGTCAATCTGGCAGAAGTTAAAAATGCTATCAGTGAGATCCAATCTAATCTAAATACTCTAACAGCTAGGGTAACTGAGGCAGAAAATAGAATTAGTGATCTAGAGGACAAGCTGATAGAGAAAAAAGAGGAGGCCTGGAACAAACAGCTTAGAAGCCATAAAAACAGAATTAGGGAAATAAATGATACTATGAAATGTTCCAGCATCAGAATTATTGGGATCCCGTGGGGGAGGGGGGGAGCGGATAGAAAGAAGACTAGAAGATACAGTTGAACAAATTTTCCATGAAAAATTTCCCAATCTGGGGAATGGAACAAGTGTTCATGTCCTAGAGGCAGAAAGGACACCCCCCAAGATCAATGAATCTAGAAAAACCTCCAGACACTTCATTGTGAAATTCACAAATCATAATTTTAGGCAGAGGTCCTAAGGGCAGCTAGGTGGAAGAGATTCCTTACATACAGAGGAAGGTTCATCAGAATAACATCAGACCTGTCCACAGAAACCTGGCAAGAGAGAAAGGGCTAGCAAGACATATTCAGGGCACTAAATGAGAATAACATGCAGTCAAGAATACTTTATCCAGCAAGGGTGACATTCAAAATGGATAGAGTGATAAAGAGCTTCCAAGAGCAGCGAGGTTTAAGAGAGTATGTGAACACCAAGCTGGTACTACAAGAAATATTAAGGAGGGGTTCTATAAAAGAAGAACGAACCCAAGAGTGATATAGAACAGAAATATACAGAGACAGTCTATAGAAACAAGTACCTCACAGGTGGCATGATGTCAATAAAAACTAATCTTTCAATAATCACTCTCAACATGGACAGCCTAAATGCTCCCATAAAAATGGCACAGACTTGCAGACTGGATAAAACAACAGAACCCATCCATATGCTGTCTACAAGAGACACATTTGGAAACTAAAGATACATCCAGACTGAAAGTGAAGGGATGGAGAAGGATCTTTCTTGCCAATGGGCCTCAAAAGAAAGCTGGGGTAGCAATTCTCATATCAGATATTCTCATATCTGATATTCTCATATCAGATAAGTTAGATTTTTAAGCTAAAGACTGTAGTCAGAGATACAGAAGGATATTACATCATTCTTAAAAGGTCTATCCACCAAGAAGATCTAACAATTGTAAATATTTATGTCTCTAATATGGGAGCAGCCAACTACATAAGCCAACTGTTAATCAAAATAAAGAGTCATATTGATATGAATACATTAATTGTAGGGGATCTGAACACACCACTCTCAGTAATAGACAGATCATCCAAGCAGAAAATCAATAGAAACAAGAGCATTGAATGACACATTGAACCAGATAGACCTCACAGATATATACAGAA